TCAGAGGAGTAGGAAAGCTGACGTTTTGGTTTGGGGGCCTTCTTCAGAAATGCCTGTCCTGCTGTGTTCCTCCAGCTCCACACTGTGTTATCTCTGACTCCAGCATCAGTAGTTCTTACTATCGCTGAATCGGATAAACTAGGTCATTTTCACATTGGCAGAGTATTACTGCTAAAGTAGAGAATGATCAGGACTTAGAACTCAACTCTTCAAATCTGGATCAATGACTAGGATAAGAATCAAGTGTAACATATCAAAGTTTGATGATGACAAAAAGGTAAATGGGTAAGTGAACATATAAAGGAATTTAAACCAGTTAACTGATAAGGCAGGAAGGAGACCAGTAAATGTTGGAATGAAGAGGATTTAGGTATTCTTATGCATGAATCACATACAGCAAGCCATTGGGAAGGTAAAGTGGATATCAATCTATATTACAAGTTGACAAGATGAAGAAGGAGGTCATGCTACAATTATATAGAGCCTTAATGGGAATGCTATCTCCATTTTTAGTTTCCTTAGTGATGGCATATTTTCATAAAGAGACTGCAACAAAACTTCACTAGTCTGATTCCTGAAATGAGAGGGCTGAATAATGAGGATAGCTTGAATAGAATGGATTTTGATTCCTGTTTAGAAAAATGAAAGGTGATCTTATTGAGTACATAATTCTTAGATGGAGAAGTTGTTTCACATAGTTGAGCAATCTTAAACTAGCAGTCATATTCTCAAAGAAAGGAGTTGGTCATTTAAGGAGGTAGGAAGGAATTTCTTCACTTGGAGGACATAAACCTTTGGAATTTTCTTTCCTGCAAAGGGCAGTGGATGCTTTAGTAAGATGAGATTTGAAGACACGGACAACCTAAAAATCATGAAGCAAGAGTTCTTTATTCCACTGGCATCTGATTATTACAAACAGGAGGGAAAGCTAAGCATAAACCAGGAAATATTTACATTTTGTACATGGAATAATCATGAGGGTTACAACACGTGGAGGAATTATTTCATCAGTCTGCCCTCTCTATCCATCAGCCCTCTTCCTGCCAAAGACGCTCTTTCTTTTCTAGCAAAAGTCCATGCAATTGCTCCTGTGGCCCTCCCTTATTATTGCCACCTACTAGGTTCTGAAGACCTGCTCAGCTTTCTCACGCAGTGCTCTTCATCACTGTCATCACCCGCTGCTGAGGTCCCATCACAGTTATTCAATAGCTATGTTCAAGTGTGAGATTGTTAGTTTTTTGGCATTAGAGGAATCAAGAGGATAGGGATAAGGTAGGGAAGTGAAATTGATGTCAAAGTTCAGTCATGACCTAAAGAATTTTGCTGCAAGCTTGAAGGGCTGGATTGCCAATTCCTTCTCTGAATTTTCATTCATGTGTTTATGAATAACATTATCAACATCAATTATAGTGTTGTACTGTGTATTTTTGATTGGATGAGCAAGGTTGTCTAACAACTTAATTGGAAAAATGTCTCTAAAGATTTCCAATTCATCAAGGAGCACACATTGAATGGATCATCAGATTCCATATTGTTTACTAACACAAGCATATCAAAATGAGATTGATCAAACTAATGGAATACATTAAAAAATTCAGCAACAAGAAGATAAACAGAAACAAAAAGAGGGTGATAAATTTTAAAAGAATGGAATTATTCAGAGATGGATGAGAATGAAAAGAGAAATGCAACAACATAAGGAGCAACAGGTTGACAAAGCACGCATGCAATCCTATCGAACATAATTCTTTATCTCTGGTCACATCATGAGCTTGAATTTACTTTGTGTTCATCAGTCTCATGATAGTAGACCTTATTAAATTTCAATGCAATATCTAACTCATGGTGAATGAATGATAACCAAAACCTTGGTTAACAGTTATATTTTTACTTGCCAATGTGCACTGGTACTCAGAATGAATGTGCATGTATTGAAGTCCCAGGTGCCTCTTTTCTCTTTCTCAAGCATATTTAAAATCTGTGGCTGCAACTTATGCAAGACCCAGATATAGCATGGGATCACAATGCTCTCTGTTGTTTGTAGATGTAGGAAGCATACAAATGTTGTACTGCTGATTCATTTATAGATATTTTTAAACTAACTTGTTCAGAAATGCAATGACGTAATTCTGGAGCAGGTGGCACTTGAACATGCAAGTCATCTAACCCAAGAAGGAGGAACACTATCAGTCCGCAACAACAGTCCATTCATGTGATTGTAAAATCCCAACAGCCTGGGAAAATGACTATCAATTGATCAATTAATTGTCTTAATTGGCCAATGCCATTCCAGACCATGCTGTCATTCTGACCCCTGACAATGTTCCCTGATGGTAAAAACATACCAAACTTCCTTCCAATGTCATTTTAAGACCGTACTGTCTCCTAGCCTATCTCCAAATAGCTGGTAAAATTCCAGCCACTGACACTGCAAGTAATTTGAATTGGCATGTAATTGGCATGTGGTGGTACACTGATACGAGTGGACTGCAACCATTACAGGAGATGATGGTGATATAAGTGCCTGCACAGCAGTGGATGATATCACACATGAATGCTGGAATAATGGTCTCATCTGAGCACTTTTATGGAGCGTCTTACTGTAAAAAGGTTGAAGAGTATGTACAATGAAAAGCTTGAAACATTTCAAGCTTTCCAAAATGTCTGTGGTCACTGTCAAGAAGCATGGAGGGGTCTACACCAAGAGGTTTGCACAAGTTTCGGGCCTGTCCTCTCCAGGGATGGAAACGTGGTCAATCCAAACATGATGCAGTGCTTGATGATACATGTTTCAGCACAAACAGAAGCCACTCAACATGTAAGTGCTGCTGTGGAAGTTGACTGAAGTCATACAACTTTAGGTTGGCTGCCACAAACATTCAGATCATTGCCATCATGGCTGCAGATATCAGTGTTCAGTATGCATTGTGCCCAGCTATCTGTCCTCCAACATGTCATAAGGTTGCTGAGGCACCTTGATCCAGGGAGAGCGACAGCAGTACCTTGGAACTCAAGCCTGTGGTTGTCTCTCAAGATGCTATAGCAACTCCACTACTATCCTTGCTGTTACCCATCAGCCAGCCCAAATTGCTGCTTCCCATGCTGAGGTGATGCTTTCTGAAACTGGACTTTCTTTGGGAAGAACTGCTTTTGATATGGCCAACTGCGCCTTTCCCTGCTGGAAATTAGCAGCTACCATGAGCCAATCTGTAGCCACTGGGGTAGCGGTGGAGACTAGGGCAGGCAAAGGTTTAAATATATCAGGCAGAAGGTTAACTTTTGGATGCATTTTGGCAATATTCATCCTTTAAATCTGGATTAGAATGATTGTGCAAAATGGCTTTTATTTTGGGATTAAAGCTGAGATGGTTAATATCTGAGAGTAAGTAAGGTGTCGATGAATGGTGAATGGAATTTTTGTTAACTATTATCAGAGTCAGATGATTCAATATCTTGACCAGCCTGGTTAGACAGGAA